AAAAAAAAAAAAAAAAAAAAATCCATTCCTGGTCCTGGCTTACCCCTTCTTTATGTGGGGAATAAAGTTGAGGGGGACACTCTGAGTCATGTGCCTTTGACTCTCTACAGCAAGAGAAGAACCAAGAACTTATGGATCAGCTAGAAAAAGTAATGTGATTTCTTTGTTTGCTTATGATGTAGTTGATGGGTTTGGGGGAGGTTTCCCAGCCTGGACTCATATCCTGGGTCCCACCCCCCATTCCCCTGCACGGTCCCTGATAATCTGCTCTCCTGGGTGGGTCTGCCTTGGGGCATTGGTGGTATACTGGGGGCATATCCTCAGCTGTTCCATCTCTGTCTTTTTCCTCTAGGAGAGAAAAGAACATCAACAAAAGTTTATGAAAGAGCAGGGGGCCCTACGGGAACAACTGCAGGTGAGTGGGCTGGATGGTACCTGCTCCTGTTGTTTAGAGAATATTTCTTTCCCTCTCTTTCAGCACTTGTTTGGCTTTTTTCCCAAAGGTTCACATTCAGACCATAGGGATCCTGGTATCTGAAAAGTCAGATCTTCATTCAGCACTGGTGCATACTCAGCAGGCAGTCAGGCAGAAAGAAGGTGGGAGTCTGGGGACCCTTCACCCTTTAACCTGCCACCTTGGCAGGCCTTCGTGAGAGACCATAGGGCTCCATCTTGACTTCTCTCCTTCCAGGAGAGTCCGAGGATCTTGCCAGTCGCCTACAGTCTTCCCGGCAGCGTGTAGGAGAGCTGGAGAGGACTCTGTCTGCTGTCTCCACCAAGCAGAAGCAGATAGAAAAGGTGAGCCCAGTTTCCCAACTGGGGGGGTTAGCCTGAAGATCCCTTCTGCAGGATAGAGTGTCCCACTGCCAGAGTGCAGCATGGACCATTTCTTCCTGCTTTTGATGTGATTGTCAGAAGCAGCCTAGGGTGTGCAGTAATGTGTGCCTGTAGTCCCAGCTACTGGAAGGCTGAGGTGGGAGGACCACTTGAGGCCAGGAGCTTGAGGCTAGCCTAGGTAACATAGTGAGATGTCATCTCTAAAATAATAAAGGGTGGCCGTGTGTGGGGGCTCACACCTGTAATCCTAGCACTCTGGGAGGCCAAGGTGGGTAGCCTGCTTAAGTTCAGAAGGTCAAGACCAGCCTGAGCAAGAGTGAGACCCCATCTCTACTAAAAATAGAAAAACTAGCCGGGGGTTGCATTGGATGCCTATAGTCCCAGCTACTTTGGAGGCTGAGGCGGGATGATCTCTTGAGCCCAGGAGTTTGAGGTTGCTGGGAGCTAAGAGGCCATAGCACTCTAGCTTGGGTGACAGAGTGAGACTCTGTCTCAAAAAA